GAGGTGGCTTTAATGATCATCGAACACTTATCAAAGACAACAGTAACAAGCTCGTTCTAGCTAGATCATTGGAGGAGGATGTGAAATCTACAAAACAACATGAGAATGTTAAAACATAGTAAAATGTATTAAAATGGATTAAACCCTAAAATTTAGGGCTCTATATGGTCGAACACATCACACCTGCCCATGTATATGTTCCATGCATGTCATCTAAAAGTGGTGTAATTGTTACTCCCTCTATCCATAAAATTTCAAACCCTAGCTTCCCAAGGTAAAATTAAGGAGGAAGACAAACGACCAAACTATCCCTAATTAATAAAAAAGTTGTATTGATGGGTATGTGAGGGGTATTTAAAAGATAAAATTTTTCTTGATTTGCGAACCGATGGTAGGTTAGTACTCCCTCCGTCCCAAAAAAGATAAACCCTGGGTTTCCGTGTCCAACGTTTGACTGTCTGTTTTATATGAAATTTTTTTATAATCAGTATTTTTATTGATGTTATGTGATAAAACATGATTAATACTTTATGTATGACTTATCTTTTTAATTTTTTTCATAATTTTTTCAAATAAGATGGACGGTCAAAAGTTGGACACGGAAACCCAGGGTTTGTCTTTTTTTGGGACGGAGGGAGTAGATAGAAGTTGGTTTATTTTGGAATATAATAATTTAAACCTATAATTTGATTTACAGAAAACTTAGACAACGGTATCCTGTTGGAACAGGATACCCTTCTATGAGACATTACTTGATACCTGATACCTGTTGTGGTATCAGTTGCATGGTACTCGATACTTGTGATACCTGTTACCCAGTACCTGTGATACCTAGGACCTGATACCTGTGATACTCGTGCAAGAGAATAGTTAATATATCTATCCCGTTGCAACGTGATCCCGTTTTGTAGCAGCCCTCTTTTATTTATTTTGAAACAGAGGGAGTAGAGTATAAACAGACACTCAATGGGAAGGTGAACCCATGATTTGCACGTAAGGGCTCATTTGAATCGTAGGATTGAGAAAACGTAGGAATAGGAAAACGTAGGATTTTAATCGTAGTGTAAAACAGAGGATTACAAAACGCAGGACAAAACACAGGAATGACCGTTCGATTGAACCGCAGTAATTGGATTGGATGAGAGATATAGACTCAAAAGAAAGTTACCAAGAGGTTGAAGCTCTTGCTAAATTTTCTCCAAAATCCCTATAGGATTGTTCATTCCATAGAAATTTCAAAGGATTAGATATGATTCAATCTTTTGTTTCAAAGGGCTTCATAGGAAATTTTCCTATAGGATTGAAATACTAAAAAATTCCCATGTTTTTCCTCCAAATTAAAGGGGCCCTAAACAAGATCAAGAGCTTTATTACTCCACCTGTGGCTCCGTCCCAAATTATAGGGCGCCCCCTTTTTAAGGAAAATCAAATTTGGTATCTTTTGACTAATAACCATACTACCTATATATATACTAAGTATAATGCATGTTATATCATTATATTCATATTTTGAAGTAATTTCATGTGATGCTAATTTTATATTTGTTGGGATTATAGAATGAAATAAAATACTGGTCAAAATATATTATATATTATTGAAGACCACATAAAAATATAGCGCTTATAATTTGGAATAGACAGTATTTTTTAACATCACATCTAGCCACTGTTGCCATCGCCTCAACACCCTAGCACGCTTCCCCTGGCTTAGGCCAGGCCTGCCACACCGGACACTTCCCCCTCCCCTCTCCTCTTCCTCCTCAAGCTTGTTGCCATGTTGTTTTCCCAATCTCTAATAACTTCCGTAGCGCTGGAGACACCATCATCACCGACACCGACACCATCATCACCTTTGACCCCTCTCATTTCCCTTGCCTTCGCCTCCGACACCGGACTAACATGGTCCTCCATCTCCGTGGCTTCAGCTACAGCGCTGCCATTTCACAATCAACCCATTCATGTTTACCACTTACCACTAATTATGTCCATCTCTTTGAAGCTTAGAAGGTGTTTGGATCCTTTAGTTGTAGGACTAAAATTAGTCCTAGGACTAAATCCATACCTGTTTGAATGTAGAGACTAAAAAAACTAAAGGTCAATAATTGCACTATATAAAGACCATGTTAACCCCTAACACCATGTAAAGAGAGGATTGTGCATGGGGCAGTGAGTAGAAAGAAGCAACTTTAATCCCTATAAGCTCCTTTCATAGGGACTAATGGACTAATGCACTTTTAATCCCTTTTAGTCATCCATGTTTAAGACTTTAGGGACTAAAGGGGATTAAAGTGAAGGGGCTAAAGTTTTAGTCCCTCCAACCAAACAGGCTCTTAGGGAAACCAAAGTCCCATCGAATATCATCGTTTACCAACTTAAAAAAAAAGCATTAGAGCAAGTTTAAGATTGAGTTCAATGGTGCCTTTTCCCAAGCTCACCTTACTTGTTTTTCGCGCGTATGCTTCCAAAATATTAAATGGTGCATTTTTTTTATTTTTTAAGTTGCTTTAAAACAATCTTAGAGCATCTACAACAACATGGCTATTTTTGCCTCTCCAAATATCCTATTTAGCAAATTGCCAAAAAATTAGAGAGCCAAAATTGAGTTTCACTCCAACGGTCTCTCCAGTTCAATCTCCAATTTAACGGTGGGTCCCATATGTCAGTCACACTTTTTCTTTGTGATCTTTTTCATCCACTTCTTTCTCGTCTTCTCCTCTTTTCTCTGCATTGCAATGGCGCGGGGGGTGGAGACGATGGACGCCGGCGGTAGCAGTGCGAGTGGCGGAGGCCGACCGGAACGGTGGGGCGGTGGAGACAGTCTCTCTCTTCCCTTCTTTTATTTTCTTTCCTCTTCTCATTTTCTTCCCCTCCTCTCACTCTTGATTCCCCTTTCTCCTTCTCTCCTACCGACTCCGGGAGGGAGCCGGCGCTAGGCGGCGATGGGCGCGGCGATGGCGGCTGGATCAGGGCGGCGGTCAGCGCGGCGACGGTGGAGGGCGGTGAGGTGGAGGAGGCACAGAGCGAGGGGGCGCCGGAAGGAGTTGATGTGGGCCGACGGTTGGCGGAGGCGGCCATGGCACGACGACGGCGACGGCGTGGTGGCGACCCGGCCGGACGGGGACAGAGTGAGGAGGCAGCTTCCGGGGCCTGCGATTGGTGCTAGGGAGGGAGGCGGCCTCGTGGGCGGCGCTCGGCCTGGTGCGGCGGCGGCCCGGAGTAGGATGAAGTCGGCGTCGACGACAGCTTCGGTGGCCTTCGGCCAAGGGAAGGCGGAGGCGGTGGGTGGCGAAGACCGGAGAGAGCGGAGCGGCGGACCGGAGGACCGGCGGTGCCGCTGTGAGTGATGACGACTGACGGTGCGGCGGCACCACCAGATCCCCCGAGGCCGATGCAAAAGGAGAAGGGGATGTGGCGGCGGCGGTGGAGGAGATGGCGGTGGACGACGGAAGGGACGGCGGCAGGCGGCAACAGGGATGGCGCCGGCGCCAGTGGCGCGCTCGCGAGTGTAGAGAGAGAATATAAGAGGAGATGGGGAAAAATGCGTGGGGCCCACGATTTGGAAAGGCAACTCTGGCTAGCCAAAGTTGGCCAGCGTAGGGAGGAGTTTAGCCAGTCAGATGGCTTGGCCAGCCGTTTAGCAAGTCTGTTGGAGCCCCTTTTTTTTCCTCAAAATTGCCAAAATTTAACTTGGAGAGTGAGATTGCCACTATGTTGGAGATGCTCTTACCAATCCATTTTTAAAGCTTTTAAGCTAATACTTAATTAATCATGTGCCAATGAGCTAGTTCGTTTTCCGTGTCAGAGGGGACCTTCGCAATCGAACACAACCTAATAATATAGCCAACTACAAACTAAAAAAAATGACACATATACTGTCATCTAATAACCTACTTATACAGAAATATATACTACATTATTAATATCTAGCCCACCTCTTATACATACAAATACTTCCTCCATCCAAATACTTCCTCCATCCCACAGTAGGTATTTTGACCGGATGAGATATATCTGTAATATGAATGTACACAACCCATACCAGAATATATCTTATTCGATCAAAATCCTTTATATTTTGGGATAAAATGAGTATATAATGTATTGGAGCTCGTGGCAGCCCTTTTTTCCTCTCTAATAACATACTCTCAGTTCCAAAATAAAGTACGGACATGACATATCTTAGTAATACGATTTGGACAACCATTCACATACATATAGGATATAGGATATATATAGGATGTGGTATATCCTAGTACTGTACATGAATATGAGCGGTATATTTAGATTGATAGTATATAATATATCACATTTCATACTTCCTTCGTCCCAATATATAGGAATCTAGTATCGGATTTGACATATTATAGGATTATGAATCTGGACAGTTTCATGTCCAGATTCGTAGTTTTAGGATATATCAAATCCGATTCTAAATTGCTACTCCCTCCGTCCCATAATATAAGGGATTTTGACTTTTTACTTGCACTGTTTGACCATTCATATTATTAAAAAAAATTTGGAATTATTATTTATTTTATTTGTGACTTACTTTATTATCCAAATTATTTTAAGTACAAATTTTCGTTTTTTATATTTACGCAAATTTTGGAACAAGACGAGTGGTCAAATAGTGTAAGCAAAAAATCAAAATCCTTTATATTATAGGACGGAGGGAGTATATATTACGACGGAGGAGTATTAGATTTATTCGGCAGTACAGGATGAGAACTAATCCCTCCTGCAAGCAAAATAGAGCGGTCTATTAGCACATGATTAATTAAATATTAGTATTTATTTTTTTTAAAAAGAATCAATATAATTTTTTACAGCAACTTTCATATAGAAATTATTTTGAAAAACACTAGTTTAAAAAACGTGCGCGTGAAAAGTAAGCGCCAAACTCAGCCTATTGCAGTCGGAAGAGGTAAAGTCGTCACTGATGTACGGGCCCCACTTCCGTTCATTGCAAGTCGCTCCCAGCGCACGACCGTCCTGTCGTCTCCTACCCTCGTTCCGGTCAGGGGAATCCCCATTCTCTGCACAGGCTCCCGACCACGAAAAGATCGCTGACCCCGACCTTGACCCGCGCCGTCGCGTCGCCTTCGGAATCCAAGAACGATGCTCGCCGCCGTCCCGGATCGACCTCCATTGATCCGCAAACGCCGCGTCCGCCCCCCGCCCTCCAAGCTCGAGCCTCGCAGCCATCGACCTCGATCCGCTTCGCGCTCTGTCGGAGGCGCATCTTGGTTCTTCCATGGCGACCCCCCATCGGCCATACATGGCGGCAAGCTAGCTCCCGTCTCAATCCGTAGCTTTCCCCTCCTTGAGCCTGGACTACTCCTTTGATTCTTTTGTTCTTTTTTGCTTCACTAGCTAATTGTCTGATTGTACTTCTCTTCTTGCACAGGCGTGGATTTGCAGATGTCGCGGTTCACAGGGCAATTCTGCTGGTTATCCTACAAGTAATCATCTACTCTTCTCTTCTTGATGATTTCTGCAATAAACAATAGTCTGATTCTAGAAGACAGACAGAGCTATCCTGTTGCCGTCGAGACTTTTAACTCTGATTATTGACTTGCGGTTCTCTTCACCTCTTGTTTACTTTGCTGGATTAAATTACTAGGTTACTCTATATGTTTGAGAAAATTGCGTGGATGACACGTGGAAGCTGAGTGTGATCCACTGGGACTGACCACTTCATTTGTTGATAAACTAACCCCTTGATAGTAATGGCATTGACTAATAATACACTAGTTTACTCTGACTTGTAGTTTTCTTTCTTGTTTAAGGTTTGCTGGCTAGCAAGGATAAGGTTGAGCGGAACAGAATATGGTGTTCTACTATGCCCTCTACGTGTTTGAGAAAATGACAGTATGATGAATGCAAGTGTGAACAATCCAAATAACCCACTGATCCCTTGAAAACCAGGACCATGAAAGGAGTAAATTAAGCCAACGGGTGGATAGTCCATTGATAAACCGCCTGCCCAAGGTAAGTCTGTCAGACATGGTGTCTTCACTGACATTGTCACACAGGCCAGCTAGGAGGAAGAGTTCCAGCTCCCTTCCAGTTCCAGGACGTTGTTCCAGGTATCCATCATGTGCTTCTTGATCTCATACCAAACTATTTGGATGCTTCACGCTGTTCAGGTCATCATGCTGCTAAGTTTCTCTTGTTGAATTGATCGATTCCGGCCATTGCTTACCAGGAAAGGGGCATGCCAGCATGGGGCTGCTATTAGTTTCTATTTGTTTTGCATGGTGTGTGGTGTTTGTTTAGTCGATGGGGATGTGTAGATATCATTTATCAAAAAGAAGGCTAACTGTGTTGTTCTACTTGACAGCACTGTTGAATTACACCTGAGTGTAAAGAAGATCGACAAAGATGGCAGTTGTAGCAGGGGCGATGACTGCCCTCATTGCCAAGTTGACTACCCTGCTGATGGACCAATACAAGCTGCAGAACAGTGCGAGGGGCGACATCATATTTATTAAAGCCGAGCTTGAGAGCATTCAGGCTGCCCTTGAGAAGTTGTTTGAGGTGCAGGTAACTGATCGCCAGGTTAAGATTTGGGAGAGGGATGTGAGAGAGCAGTCGTACGACATGGAGGATATCATCGACAATTTCATGGTTCATGTCGAAACCCATTTGCTAGCCAAGCCACATGAACTCAAAGGATTCATGAAGGGAAGTTTGAGCTTGTTGAGAAGAGCAATGGTTCGCTATCGTGTTGCTACCGACATCAAACGTATCAGGAGGCTTGTCAATGAGACGAGTGCACGCCGTGATAGGTATAAGGTTGGTACTATTGTTGCTGCTGCCAAGACTGAGACCGCAATTGATCCCCGTTTAATTGGTATCTATGGAGAGGCTACTAAACTTATTGGCATAAGTGGACCTAAGGAAGAATTGACCAAGCTGCTGATGGATTCCAAGGGCAACTCAAAGAATAAACTGAAAGTGATCTCCATCGTTGGAGTTGGTGGTTTAGGCAAGACAACTCTTGCTAATGTCATTTATCAACAGCTTAGAGGACAATTCGAGTGTCATGCTTTTGTTTCAGTATCCTTAAAGCCTGATCTAAAGAAGGTCCTGAGCAGCATACTCCGTCAATTCAGTGAACAAGGTTATGCTTGGACAGAAACATGGTGTGCTCAGGAAATCATCAACAAAATCAGAGATGAAATTAAGGAAAAGAGGTATAACTAACCAAATACATGCTTAAGATCATTGGGAACATATCCTGTGTACACAAGCCATCACGTGTACACACTGTACACCAACTAACAAATGTCACCAAAAAATCTAGAAAATTTCATACATGTACTTTCAATAGTATTACACCTACAAGTACAAATTCATTATATTTTAGCCGTAACCAAAAAAATGTGACAGTTTTAAGGTTATAATTCTGTCAGAATTTTGTTTCTTGTTGTTGCTCTCTGTAGAATGAATTTGAAGATGGGACTTTACACGTAAATGTAATACTATTAAAAGTACACATATGAATTTTCTTAGATTTTTCTGGTGATATTTGTTAGTTGTTATGTACATGTGAGTGCTTGTGTACATAAGATATGCTCCCAGGATCATCCCATGCTATGTGTAAGCATTTTAGCTTGAAGTACAGCTAGAATTTGGAGCTAGTAGGGATAGTAAAATACATGCACAGACTGCTAGGTGAATTAACAATGAAATTAATCCTTTTATCTAATAAACCAAGTTCAATGGGCTGGCAAAGTAATATTCTAGCTTAGGGTGCTAGGTGTGATAACAACGGGAAGTTCAAGGGGCTATGAAAGAGAAATGTGAATTCAGGGTGTTCGATAAGACAGGCAAAAGCTTAGAGGTCTAAAATACAGTTCTTTTCTTTCGGAAAACTAAAACCAAGATAGCAAAATTACTAGTTTGATCAATTTGGATTCAGGCAACTTCTATTCTTTGAACTTCTCACAAAACTGCAACCCTGTCATATCCTAGGAAATTTTTGCATGTTGGTCCAAATATTATTGACTCTACTCTGTTTGATACCATTAGGCTGCTAATGGGCCGCGTCAGCATCAAATTGGCTGCAAATTTTTATTTATTTATTTAGAAGTCATTCCCTATCTTCGAAAAAGCAAATACATGCTACATAAGTTCAGGAAGTAGTAGCCAGACCTAAAGGTTAGGTAAATAAAATGTTCACATCTAACATGATTGAAACTGAGTTCATGAAACCCTATACTTGTGGGACTGAACTCATGAGACTGAACATGTAGGGAAACTATAGCTTCTGGAGATCCTGTCTTTCCTCTCCCTCACCTTCTGTCCAATGCCAGTACTCGTGGTTCTCAGAGCAGAGCCTTTTGTGCTGTTGAATACTTCATCTGTTACTTGCCTTTGAAAGGATCCAATTAATTGGTTTTCAGTTTCAATTTAACTCATGTCTTGTGCTAATGTTATCACAAAACCACAGGTACTTGATTGTAATTGATGATATATGGGAGAAATCAGCATGGGAATGCATCGAGTGTGCTTTAATAGAAAATGACCGTGGAAGCAGAATAATCACAACAAGCAGAGTGCTTGATGCTGCCACGCCATGCTCTTCTGAGGTTGATCATACCGTTTACAAGCTGCAGCCACTTTCTAGTGATAACTCAAAGAAATTGTTCTACAAAAGGATATTCTACTGTGAAGATGGTTGTCCATTGGAACTGAAGGATATATCTGAAAAAACTTTAAGAAAGTGTGAGGGAGTCCCGTTAGCCATAATCACCATAGGCAGTTTATTGGCCATGAGACCACAAAATTTATACCAATGGGATAGGGTACACAATTTAATTGGTTCTGGACTTGAGAAAAGCCATCATGTGGAGAATATGCGGCACATATTGTCTATTAGTTATTATGATTTGCCAGCCCATTTAAGAGCTTGCTTCCTATATCTAAGTATATATCCAGAGGATTACAATATACAGAAAGATCAACTGATACGCAGATGGATTTCTGAAGGGTTTATACTTGGAGAAGATATGGATACTTTGCATGAAGGAGGTAAATACTTCAATGAGCTAATAAATAGAAGCATGATTCAACCAGCATACATCGACAGTCATGGAAGGGTGCATGCTTGTCGTGTTCATGATATGGTGCTTGATCTTATCACATCATTGTCAAATGAAACAAATTTTGTGACATCATTAGGTGGTCAGCAGCCCACATATCATCCAAACAGGGCTCGCCGGTTATGCCTTCAAAACAGCATATATGACCATACGATACGACAGGAGAAAATGAAGTGGCCCCGCGTGAGGTCACTAATCGTATTCCCTCATGCTACCAACTTGTTGCCATCCCTTTCGAGATTCCGTATTTTGCGCGTACTGGATTTAGAAGGTTGTCAAGACTTGAAGAATCACCAAATTGAGGGTATCAGTGATTTGTTTCATTTGAGGTCTCTAGTACTGAAGGATACAAATATTGGTAGTCTCCCCAAAAAGATTGGCAACCTAAGTTGTTTACATACACTGGACATAAGGCACACTATCATAACTGAACTTCCATCAACAGTCGTTCATCTAAGAAGACTGGTGCGCCTACTAATTGATGCATCGGTGAAGTTACCTGATGGAATTGGGAAAATGGAATGCTTACAGGAAATATCACTGGTTGGTATTAGCAAGTCTCCAAACTTTTTGAAGGAGCTAGGGAGTTTGACAGAACTAAGAATACTCCAGATTTCAGAGAGTACTGGTGCGTGGCATGATAGTTATGAGAATACTTTGATTGATTCTTTGTGCAACCTGCACAAAATCTGTGACCTGTACATCCATGGCTGTAAACTGTCCACAGAGTTCATATCAAATATAAGATGCTCTCCGCGATATCTCCGATATCTTTCATGTGGCCAATTATCCATATTGCCAAGGTGGATCAATTCATCCTTATTGTCCCTCTCCACCATAGATTTGATACTTAATGTACTCCGACAGGATGATCTTCGTAGTCTTGGTGCCTTACAATCTCTATGTTGTCTCCGTCTTAATGTGTTCAAAATTGAACCAGAAAGGTTGGTTGTTGGCACTGAGCATGCAAAGTTCCACTGGCTAGCTGAGTTTTCGTTTACCACTAATGCCATGGGGCTTATATTTAGCCAATATTCTATGCCAAGGCTTGAAAACCTTGAGCTAGCTTTTAATGTTCGAGAGACAAAGTATTTTGATATTGGCTTGGAGCACCTGTCCTCTCTTAAGGATGTCACTGCAAGAATTGATTGCAGGGATTCCAGTATTTTTGAGGTGCAAAATGCAGATGCTGCCATTCGGAGGATTGCATATATGAACTCCAACCAACCTAAGGTTCATGTGATCAGGCATTATGAACACATGTTAATGGATGAGGTGAAGATCCAGAAGGAAACGGAGGAGGAAAAGGAGGTACTTTCTAAATGACTAATTAATGGAAGGCGTAGTAACTTGTAATACATGAAGTTTACATATAAATTTCTGAATCATAGGGTCACTTTTTAAATTCATCGAAACAAAACTGCAAAACTTTGTTTTTCTTTTTTCTTTTTTATTATATCTTTATGTCTTCTTTGCAGATATTGGAAAATAGGATTGGTCCATGGGGTGGAAATGGTGGGGTCACTTGTGACATCAAGGTTGCACCCAAACGCTTGGAAAGCATTACTATTTGTAGCGGCATAATCATCGATGCACTTGCATTTTCTTACTTGGACAAAGATGGAGAGCGACACACGACTAGTTTATGGGGTGGTCTTGGTGGTAGTGTTCAACTGGTGAGTTGATCATTATTATTTTTTATTTTCTTTGCAAAACAAATATGGCATTTATTTCTTTCTTCCTGGATCGAATCCAGTAAAATGAGCAACACAAATACAACTCAATTACATTGCAAGAATTCAGAGGTAATGGACCTTAATTTCCTCGCAGATTGATCTTGATGAAAGAGAGTTTCTTATGGAGGTTATTGGAACTGTGGGTCCATTCAATGTGTTATCTGAGGCTATAACATCACTTACACTTGTGACCAATGTACGTAGCTATGGGCCTTTTGGACAACCACAGGGTACTCCTTTCCGTACTCCACGGAAGAAAAACAGTTGTATCGTGGGATTCTTTGGGCGTTCAGGAACATATCTTGATGCAGTTGGGGTCTATTTTCACCCTATGTAGATCTCAGCAAAGCGCGAAATCCTTTAACCAAACTTGTAGTTTATATTCACATTGTGTCGAATATTTTCTTTTGTTTCTTTACATTTCCTGATATTATGGTCGGACTACTCGTATTTCAATTCTTGTGATCTGTTTTCCTTTCACCTGTTTTTTTTTCTCAGTTGTTCAAATAACATCAAAAGTTGTTTTAGCTTCATATGTAGTGCGCTGCAGTAAAATGATCACGTCATTATGGACAGTGACTCCTGTTTTTTTTCTTAGTTGTTCAAATAACATCAAAAGTTGTTTTAGCTTCATATGTAGTGCGCTGCAGTAAAATGATCACGTCATTATGGACAGTGACTCCTGTTTTTTTTTCTTAGTTGTTCAAATAACATCAAAAGTTGTTTTAGCTTCATGTGTAGTGCGCTGCAGTAAAATGATCACGTCAGTATGGACAGTGACTCCTGTTTTTTTTTCTTAGTTGTTCAAATAACATCAAAAGTTGTTTTAGCTTCATATGTAGTGCGCTGCAGTAAAATGATCACGTCATTATGGACAGTGACTCCTGCTGGAATTCTCAATATGGTTCACCATGTGGAGGTGTGGTTAGGAGTGTAAAGAAAAAACTCGGGCTCGTGAACTCAGCTAGAAAGCCAAACAAGCTGAGCCAAGCATCCTTTTTAGCTCTTCGTTGAAATGAGCTGTGCCCGAGCTAGCTTGCGAGCCAATTGTTTGGCTCGTGACCCTAGGTCATTATGTACTTATATGGATTATTTTTTAGTGGAGTTATTATTTGTCAACTTGTAATTTATTATCTAGATTTTAAAGAATTGAATATATGAATTAGTTTTAAGTACATGTTGTTGATTTATTCTTTGCTTTTCTTAATGATTACAAATTATATATGAAGAGACGAGCCAAACCAAGCCTATTATGTTGTGAGCCTTTGCAAGCTTGGCTCGGCTCATTTCCACCCCTAGGCGTGGTCAAGAAAGAGGATTTTTTGTTTTGATTGGTACCAATCAACAACATGATGTCTATACAAAGATTAGCTTGAAACCGAAATTCCAGCTTATCTCTATCTTAAGATATAAATGCACATCTGCGAATTGAACGAACCATTTTCCGAGCACAAGTCATGTAAGCTTAACTTTTGTTACAGTAGATTGATGTAATATGTATTTGAACAATCCAACAAAATAAGAACAAGTCCAACAAGTTCCACTTAGACTACCAGTAGTCCAAATGAAAACTGACCATATCAGTTTGACTCCGCTTGTACTGTTGGTTTGACTGCAACATCCTCTGTACTAGAACTATTTGCAGCAAGGCTTGCAGTTCTCCCCAACGCCCATAAGAATCATGAATTAGTTTAGGGTTTTCGGAAGTGGCTTACCGTGCGAGAGATCGTCACCTCATGCATAGGGGCATTTCTCTTCTTTTATATGGCGCCGTGGGCTGAAAATCTCCTTCGTCGACATTGCCTTGTGATTGGATATGTAGTCTATGTAGCAGTGCCTTCGAAGATGCTACACTACTTGCTAAAGACTGCATTTTCACAAACATAGTCTGAAACCTTGTTTCTAGCTAGTTAGGCTACAACCAATCCCCTGGCAGCTGCTCAGCAATTCTATTTCAGATTGGTGGGAGTCTTTAACCTCCACACTACAAGGAAAAGAAAGAAACAAAATGATCGGTGCCCTTCTGACTACATGGTGTCAGTGGCGGATCTAGAAATATTTGTGAGCCCGGGCAAATCTAATTAACAACGCCAACGGATATATAATAAATCCCATATAACTTACTATGTACCATACAACATTTTTTTTATCGTATTGTAATTTAGAAGAAAACGATGGTTGTGTTTTTGTAGGCTATGGGACTTAGTAATTTATTATCTTGAAAAGCAAAAAAAAATATAATGGGTGCTAGAAAATTTACTTTGCCTTCAGGTTGCATACGTCTAATAGCTTGCACTCAAGTAATGGGTAAAACGATCTACTAGTAAACAATCATGGTGCTTTTGGTTACTCTAGATGATTGTGTATGTAACATCTATTAACAGATTATTATAACATACTTATATTGCTTCATGCTGGCTGCTGCATGCTGTGGCTAAGCACCGTGAGTTAGAACTAATCTAATGATGCATGCGACGCTGGAGCCCGGGCAATTGCCCGGGCTTGCCGGGCCCTAGCTCCGCCGCTGCATGGTGTGATGTTTGGCTATAGCGTAATCAAAGAATTTTCAATCAGAAGTCGCAAAGTGAAACCCAAGTAGCATTCCTAATAAAGGAAAATATAGACCTAATAGCACATTCTAGGCCCACCTAATGGCTAGCGCTTCCTTAAGTTGTGTTCCTTGCTCCCTTGTAATCCCCTAAAGAGTCACTCTTTAGCCGGTTGTCTTTTCTTCTTTTGCTGATTGTACCAATTGGCAAACTTTATTTCTTCTAATATATCCAGCAAATCTCTTGCTGATTGCAGTTTCAAAAATAATGGTGCTGTGAGACTCGAGGGCGATACAACAACAATAAAAAAACTGGAGCACCTATGATCATGACACGAGTTTGTCAAGATGTATGTGTGGCCATGGGTGGACCTCGTCAATGGATGAGTTAGTCTCAGTTGGCCTGAAATCAACAAACAAAATCAAATAGTTTTTTTTCTAGTATAACGGATTCGAGTCACTCAATTAATTCTTGCAATGACGGAAAGGGGAAACATTTCGAATTCAATGTTTGGATTTAATTCCAACCAGGTTTCAAAAGATAATCTGTTCATTGCAGCTCATATGAATAGTAATTAAAGAAAGACATATCTGGAGTACTGGAGCTCACATTAGACCTATGGAGCATTGGATCAAGAATAAATTTTCAGCAATGCTTAATTCTTGACCTTGGCAAATCTCAGTAAAATTATTAGTCAATAATAATAGTATATCCTTCCGCATTCCGCTGTCAAAAGAACAAAAAAAAAATCTTCCCCACAAGAATAAAAACATATCAACCTCAATTTTCCAGATCATGCAAAACATGATCAACAAAACTCAAATTATTTTCCTGCAACAGTTCAACATTATCATCAAAATATATTAAATTCTACAGAAGAATTTAAACCAACACCCAACATGTCACAAAGAAGTATCAATACAAGAGTGCTTCTCCAATTTATTTTATTTTTAGATGTTCAAAGCAACGAAAGCATAAAGTGATTCTTTTGCATGACCTTTCCTTATTCCCTAGCTGCAATTCACATGAGGATAGTTTATCATTTCAGTGCCTTGTAGCAACCAGGTTGGTTTAAACCCTCGGCATGTGACCTTGAACTGGAGGAGGTAGTCCTCCCATTTTTCCACTCCTCACTTTGACCAACAGTTCTTGGAGCCATTGCTGCATTGTAGGGTCATCCTGCATTTGTAGTAAAACAAATTTATATTCAGAGTTGATTGCAATTATCAGCCTAGTCTAATAGTACTTCAGTTGGATGATACATACTACCTCAAAATATAATAAATTCTGGTTGTATATCTTGTCCATCCAGGTACATAGCTAAAAATTATTATAATTTGGGGATGGAAGTAGTAGTAATTTTTAGTGAAAATGTATATCTACAATACACAACTCACCTTAGTAAGATTGTTGAATGTCCCATCTATAAGTGTGGTAGGAAGGCAAGTCTGCAGTGCCTCCAAGCCCCTGGAACATTGCAGAGGAGGTAGATCGAAATGGCATTGCTGGCTTTAGAAGTTTGAAAAAATGAAGATAATTCTGCAAAATGAAAGTGAGGAAACAAACCTAGGATTGTCTGTGATCCTAAGGTAACAGTGGATAATGTGCTTCAACAACCTTGGGGAGGGCTTGTCATCCATTGAGGTCACCATGCCTGCTAAGGCAGTCCCCACAGCGAAGAACCGATCAGCAGTAGCGCAAATGTAACCAAGCCCAGCGTCATCCAAGACAATCTTTTCAATAATAAAAGTTGCCACCTGCATATATAGGTGAGTAAATCAGTGAATGGATGCAATTTCTAATAAGTTTACCAGAATGGAATCAAAGTGTATGTCACTGAAAACACACATATAAAAATGCAAATATATATATGATATACTTACCATAGATATATACATGATTAATACATAGGTAACAAAAAGAAAATGGCAATATCTAGATTGTTAGATTGGTACAATTATATCAATCAATGAATTGCTACAAAGTATTCCAAAACAGCAAGACCCAAAGTATACAAAGAATCACTATATATCAATAAATGAATTGCTACAAATTATACTTTGAGCTGATGCTAGCTGAAAATAAAAATGTGCTCCTATCAAACTTTACATAGGAAAGAATACTAAAAGACAATTAATTAAAGGTGATGTTATTTTAGGAGAGGATTGATATGGCTGGTTACTTACAGTTTTTGAAAGCTCACTGCCTACCGCCATGGCATGCAGGCAGAGAGGAACAAATTCATATTGCAGTAGAAAATTGATGACTTCTGTACCTTCAGCCTGCATGTATCACAAGTAAAAGAAGCTTATGGCTATGTACATCCGTTTCGATGTAGAGGCCGGTTTAATCCATTATCTAACAAAAAGTAAAAGAAGCTTCATTTTCATTTTTCATAGGCATGTTTGTGGAACACCCCAAGAAAGAAAGAAAGGTTTCTTATGTTGCATGTACATAAAGAAAATTATAGGTCCTTTTTCAAGGCTTTGCCATTTTAGCCATAGATACAAATTAATTTGGCTTCAACTGCAAACTATACAACACTGAACCATAAAGTTCATACTAGCTCTGTATCTAAATATACGACATTCTTGAATTTATTTAATTTTTGGTGTGCAACTATGACCACTATTTATATATAAGAATATAGCAATAATATCTAACAAAATTATAATTATAAAAAGTACTTATAAAGAAAAGAGTAAATTTCAGATTGGACCCCTTTTCATTACCATAGTTGCACAATGGGCAAGGGTCTATCAACACTTTTCACTTAGCACCATCTAACCTTGCCAAAACATACCAGTTTGGACTAGGTGTAGTGGGGTACTGCCTTGAGCTGCTACCATGGCTATTTCACCCAGGGTGAAGGATGAGGTGAGCACTGATCATAAGGGGATAAACGGCATATATCATGCTGGATTAGATCAAACCAATGATGGCTCCTATGTGCTATGTGTTGAGAGGCCAGTGGCAACTGGCAAGACGATTCGCATGGCCAGGCAATTGACTCAAATAGAAACCAACTTTGATGCTTACGTGCCTTGTTCTGCCGCTCGTGTGCCTGTAGCTGGCGCTATGTTGCAGTCAAGCTGCCGTGAGAAGATCAAAGCAAAGCAATGCATCAGGATCGGCAGTGCCACCGCTTATGTAGTTATGCTTGTGCGGATGCCGGATGAGCTAAGGAGCTCAAAACTGTCCAATGTCCACCCTTTCCCTTGCTCGAGGTCCATTAGTCCATTCATGTCCATCACTAGCACCTCTGGTGTGCCAGCTGTGCGCTCGACCCCACGCTTCGCTAGCTCCTCCCTCTAAAGTAGGCAACAGGAGTTGGGCACTGCTGCACTACTCCTTCTCCCTACAGATCAAACCACTGGAGTTGGGCACGATGCAGCAGATAGCAGAGAGAGAAAGAGTGGGGGGGAGCAATGGTGTTGCCACATCTCTGATGGCCCATCGGACGTGGAGAAGACAAGAGATGGACTAGAGTGAAACAAATGGTAAGTTTAAGTGGTTCAAAGTGAAAACCTTGGCTAAGATATGATCCAAGCTGCAACATGGGTAAAAATATATGGACCACACTGAAATTTACTCGAAAAGAGTAAATTTCAGATTGGACAACAAATGGTAAGTTTAAGTGGTTCAAAGTGAAAACCTTGGCTAAGATATGATCCAAGCTGCAACATGGGTAAAAATATATGGACCACACTGAAATTTACTCTAAAGAAGAATATACCAAATATGATTTATTCCATTTTTGAGGGTTACTGATGGTCAAATTTTGACGGGGTAAGGTTAATAATGTTTATATGTTTAAATATAGAGGGAGTAATTTTAAAGAAGTTATTGAGATATCTATACTAGTTTTACTGGTATGAATTGAAACAAACAGTTGAATTTATTAAACCTCAGTGATGCTAATAATTGTCTCATGTGCTGATAATATATTTGCCAGTTATTTTGGATATAAACTATATGAATTCATCAAATCCTGCTATACATGACAAAAACTTTTAGACAGTAAGAAGAAACATTACAGTGAACGCTACTTTTTGTAGTAAGGATTTTCTTATTATACACCAAGTAATTGTGAACTGTTCATTGCACTTCTCATGAATAATCAAACATTTACCATTTGTAGTGGAGGTAGTGAACTATCCCTCCTTTTTTTAACTTAAATGCAAAGAAAAATTGTTTCATTACCTGCTAAAGAATTTTCAGAGTAATAACTGATTTTTTTTATTGCCAAAGTTTCCAGTATGTATTACCTTCACAAGAGCACCAATGACACCCAAGCTGGTCAGCCGCAAGTATTCAAAAGGTCTGGTCTTGCTGGTATTTTCCAAAAATGAACATAGGTACAATGGAATATGAGCTGAAAATAAAAAGAATCGAAAGGGTGAATGTTACAAACCAATCCAAAGCTCAAAAGGTTTGTACCATGAAAGTGAAAAAAAAATACTATAAACTATCTAGATTGGTAGCAAGGCCTACACTGACCTATGGAATATCTAGTACCACATGATAATGAATCGCAACATTTAGGTAGGATGGAAAATAATTAACAATACACATCAAAAGTTTCAGATATGATATACAAAGGGTTGTGCTCATTACCTTTTAAGAAATGGCTCCTAGTCTCGGGATGGGATGCAACACACTGCAATAAAGAAAAGAAAGTAAAAAAGAAAAAGGAAAGGTGACATAAGATATGATATATGGAAAATAGCAGCTTTAATATTTTCTAGTGGTGTTGTATTCTTCTTAGCGTGTACCTGAAGAAGTGCAAGCGCATTGCAGACTCGACTTGAAGCAAGTAATGATAATGTTGGGGGTGAAAGGACAGGGTAGACTACTATAATCTCCTATTTATTATAGCAAGAATAAAAACATATGAGTACCCATTAACACAAATAAAAGTGAGCTCAAACATTAATAAATTACATTAACCCATAATTGAGATATGATAGAACTCAATTGTGTTTTAATTGCTGAATTGTGGAGAATGGTTGACTAAAACACTTCTTTTTTTGGAGGGGAAGGGGGGTGTTGAGGGGCTCCTCAACAAAAGATTGATCATGGACATACAACACAATGGATAAACTACTACTCAAGAATGTTACCTGTAGCAGCACAATAATTGTGCCAAAAGAGTGCCACAATAGTGGAGCCAAATCTGGAAACATCTCCCTTTTCTAAAAATATAGACAACAACATCACTACAAATGCATAATTTTTCTTTGTATGACAATGTAATAGGACAATAACTGAATATTGTTTATGTAAGGACCACAACAAAATCAATCAACATAAAAATAAAAAAAAATATTTTTTGGTGAATTATTATGAAAATATTATTGATAATAGAAATAATTAATATCTTAGATCACCAGGGACCCAGAGTTAAGTGACCTTACATATTAACCAGGGTTTTGGCCCACCATGATGTAGAACATATCCCATGCCACCGCTTTTTGCTGATGCTACTAGCTATTTGTTGTGTGTTTTGCATGGGTTATGAAAAAAATCATGCAAGTACCACTATCTCAAGCAGTGCTTTGCTAAGGAATACAGTGAAATATTTCCATTTTATATAAATGTTATGCTTCTTTATGTGTTGGTTTTAGTTCTTGTGTTTTGTTCAAAGACTCTTGTTTCCTTTGTTTGTTATTATTAATGGGGGATATCTATTTACTTAATTAGGATATTTGGTTTGTTTATTATATATGTTGTCAGTTATTTTAGCTTTTTAGAATTTGTATGCAGTGTGCACAACGTTTCTGGTCATGTGTTGACTTTCCATTTAAGAAAAAAAGGGAAGTTTATAATGTGAGTAAATTTTGTATTGTTGTGATTTTGGATTTCTACGCTGCAATAAGTTTATACTACTTAAGTTTCCTAGTTAGATCTATTTTGTTTCGGCTGTCTACTTTGATATTGCGACAAAACAGGCATCCTTTTGGTGGCTTTTCCAAAAGCCATTGTTGGTCCTCTAATGCTGGAAGAAGAGAAAGCAATTAAGGTTTTCGCTCTTTCCAAAATCAACACAGCCAAGAAACTAGAGTACATATCCCATAAACACTGCCATGGTTTCATTATCTATTTTCAACACTGCCATGGTTTCATTGGTTTGGCACAAGCAACTAGTGGAAGCGTGGCCCATGTGATCTCCTAGCAACCCCCTCCCCCCCCTCTATATATATATATATATATTCCATGTGTTTTAGGCAATCCATCTTTCAAACCTCGATTTTTGCATCTATCTACTGCTAGAGAGGCCGATGTCTTCCAATAATGTTTAGCAAAATATTTGCCTTTTGAAAATCTTGAACCAAGAAAGGGGACCTTACTGTTGTATTCATTATATGAGTAAATATGAAATTACGAACAATACAACCCTTTAATCTCAAATAAAAAGAATAGTTATAATAGATAATGAAGAAAAATATGCATTACCTTGCGTAGTTCAGCCAGAGCATGCCCTCTGAGATCTGGATCTAGCAGATCAAGAACAAGCCGTTGAGCAAGTTCGGGGTCGGTAGGGTTAGGAACCTGGATAGTTGACATTGTGAAGTGAAGATGAGATTCAAGTGAAGAGATTCAAAACTATAGCAAGAGAAGCACGAAGCAAGCAATCCCTGATGCTTCTGCAAGAAAGAAATAGAACTTAGGATGCACCTAGCCATTGTGGTGTTTAAATAGTGCAAAGAAAGATGGCGTGCATTTAATCGTATCATAATGAATCGAATCATTTTTATGTAGCAGCAAATAAATGCACCTTATCTTGTCGTTTTCTTTAAATATATGGGCATGTATTATTTTGTTTAAAATAAAAAATTCAAAAACCAAATTGCCGCATTATGCGGCGAGCCATTAAATGATAAGTATCAATTGTTCATTTTTTTTTCATGCTGCTCTTATCACAATAACCGAGGGACAAAGATATCGGAGGTCCTTTCGTTGTTTTTAAGGGAAATTATCAATGTTTGTTTACTCTTTTGTTATGATCCTTGTTTGCTAGTGATGAAACACTCTGGTAATTGAATGATTTAGGTAGAGTTTATATTGGGAATAGCATATAATCAGGTTAGGGATAAAGAATAAAGAAGTTGTGCTGAATGCACAACCAAGTTTTTTTTGTTTGATGTACACAAATTGGAGGGCCCACATATTAATCAAAACCACCTACAATTGAGCCCAACTAAGGTACAACATGTAGGGGAATCACTAGGCAGCTACCCAACCGAAGGAGTGGCCGAGAGGTGGGCCAAAAGGTTGGATGGACCACAAGGACGCCCAAACCGACTTTGGCTCCCCTCGCCATGTGCTTCAATGTGTAGGTTGTTGATGACTTCCCAAAGGCGGTAAACTCCTGCAAGCCATCCACGAGGTGGCAACCTCCAAGAGTAATATGTCTAGGATACTTGCTGAGGATGCATGGTCAAGTATCACGCTAGTTTTAACAATGAAGAAATGCACTTGGATTGGCTTAGTTCACTCTCGAACACCGTAGTAGATAAACTAAGTGCACAAGGGTGCGAGAGTTCTTGCAAGGGCTCAAGATAATGCAATGAAGTGCGAGAAACCTTGCTCTTGCTGCTAGTGAGGATGCCTTTATACACGCGCCAAGACAAACTAGCCATTTGGGGCAAAATCCACAAGTCACAGTGGTATATCGGTCAGGCTGCAAAAAGCAGACTGGCCATCAAGGCAACAAGTAGAATACTAGCTGCTACCTGTCACATCATAGGGGGCGAGTCTAACCACCATGGGTGGCCTGGTATGACCGTTCTTAGCTCGGTTAGACCGCCATTAGCTTGGTCTGATCGGTCTCAGCTCTATCTCCCTAGTCAGATCGCAATTCACCCATCAGTCGGAGCACATGCCACTTTTCAAGATAACCGTCTATCAGAAAAAGACGATTTCACATGACTCGGGTATCTTATTTCAACATTTTTTGCACTTTATGGAAAGCTTGTTCATAAGGCTATCCACCTATGAGCAATCCATCTAATAGTCACAATTTTTCTCAAGGATATAGGGCTCAAACTCCAAAAGATACTCTACCGGACATACCCACATGAGGCCACTCACTCCTATTGGACATGCCCACTTCTCTCATTGTTTGGATTTTGAGAAAACTCGCCACACTTGCCTAGAACCACACCTAAACATGGCCAACTCTTTGTTTGTCAACACAACCAACTCCAACGAGACTTGCGGGTGGACAAGATATAAAAGCCAAGCATGATACACATCTAAACAAGTCTTACCACATGTATGTCAAAGGCTCTAGTTTAGCCTAAAAAGAATCAAGATCCGACCCGGACTCCTCACTCAAACCATAAAAAACCTTAATGTGCATGGCTAAGGAAAACGATCATGCATATAAGATTGAGTGATTTGCACATGGTTCAAATCAAGCCACTAATCATTGATCCCTCTTAATAATATGATGCCTATGTAGCAACCCGGTCTTTGCTCCAAACATCAAGACCAACAAAAGACTAAGAAAATCATTCTTAGCTTCATCATATATTTGCCTTGCACTCATCCAACTTGGGGTCAATTCCTGCTCTATGATCAACACTTGTGATATTCAGTTGAACCATCTTCATATAGTAGTCTTGGTCAATCTTTATCAAGAATACCTTGTCATTATGAGCTTGATTCCATCCTTATCAACACAGATGATGCCTTTTACTTGATGACCATCAAGCTATGGTTCTACCTTTAACTTCATCATGGTAGGATTTATTCCTTTGCAAGATTTAAAGGAAATCTATTACTCCTAACAAATCGGTCATCATCCTCCACTTGATGACCAATCGATTGCATATGAAATATATAAATCAAATGGGACAATTGATCATTTGACCCTATTTTGAAGGCTAACTAGCGATCTGACCCAATTTTTCTTAGTTTGCGTATTTAACCCTGCTTTTCAAAATTGAACATAACGCCTGACCCTATTTGCACTACCCTGTTAGGGTTTCATTTAGAAAAAAAGGAAAAAATATAATAATTATTTAAACCAACCAAAAAAACCCTCACTCCAACCCTATCCATTTGGGCATCTCCTGACCTCCCTTCTCTCTCTGGCTCATCTCTCTCGGTGAGGAGAAAGAGGGGGCGGGCACTGGCGTGCAGAGGGAGGGAGGCAACGACGGCACTGGTGCGCGGAGGAAGGGAGGCGATGGTTGCATCAGTGCGCGGAGGGAGGGGTTGCCAACGGTGACGGCTGTTGCATGGAGGGACAAGCAGGATGAGTGCAGAGAGGAGATGATGGTGTTGTTGTTCTTGGCTAATTGGCTTACTCTTTGATCAATATTTGATCGTCCTGACAATTGGTGTTGCATAATGCTTTCTCACCACTGCAAGACCAAAATCAATCTACCAAAATTATGTCAAATTTTGTTTACTTAAATCTATCAAATTGAAGTCAAATTTGTTAAATTGATTTAATTTTGTCAAATTGAAGCCAAATCTATCAAGCTTTGTGTCAAATGTGAAAGATATATCAAATTCGTTACAAATACGTCAAAAGGTTCGAATATATGCATGTTTTGATATAATAGTGTCAAAAAAAGTAAGGGTAAAGGGACTATTTGACCATTAGTTAACACTGTTAACTCGCCTTAACGTAATAGAGTCAACCTTTATCTTTGATTTTGGAAAGTGTGGTCAAATAAGAAAACTAGAAAAAGTTGGGTTAGATTGGTAGTTTGGCTTCGAAATAGGATCAAATGACCAATTGCCCAAATCAAATTGTCGAGCATTCATTAACACCACAAAGTGTCATATATACGCAAGCGAGCTCAATTGCAAAGATCAAATATAAAGAATAGGTGAACAACATGGATCCAGAACATGCATAATAAGTGTATAGGATTCGCTTCCCCTGAATATATGCATACAAAATATTTCAGTGAGAGGCAAATGTATGAATAAAAGTTGAACCAATGGGAGTTTATCCGATACATACATAGAAGTCATGTGGAAAAGATATAGATCAGATAAGCATAAACACGTATCTTCATAGTTTTCATGTTTTCAATATAGAGGAGACTAAATAAGATTAAGCTCAATTAAACATTAGTCTCACATGAATATATCAATAACATGATAATCATATACATGAGCCTATCAAAATGTAGATGGAGATAAGAAATGATACATATCGCTTTA